TTTTTGTTGATTATTTTTGACTATTTTCCGGGTTAAATTTGTAGTACTTTTAAATATTATAGTTATCTTTCTTATATAGAGTATTTCTTTCAATTAAAACATTGTCTAGTTTTTTAGAATCATATCAGCAAATATTGTATTTTATCGATGTGGAAACATACATCGAGATTGTGTTATTTTTTATTTCTCTTCTGCAGGGGATATAGTGCTGCGCATCGATACCGAAGCACTTTTTTTTCATCAGTTACAGAAATGTCATTTCTATCGCTTTCGTACCAGTTGTTAAAAAGTGTATAAATGAGACAATTTATGTATTTTGTCTTATATTTTATTCTTGAAAAATCACACTAATAGCATTAGCTTTGTTGTTGAGTTGTACATTGGATGACATGTGTTATTGGTAGTGTTCATGCTCGTCTTGCTCCTATTTTTGGGGATATTTGAGATTATGCAGTATTGTGATGCTGGTGGCCTGCCTTTTATTGTTCGTGGCTATGAGCTTTGAAATATTTTCAAAAAGTTTCAAGCAGTAGATTATAATTTAGACTTCAGTTGCAAAAGGTAAGCTTGAAGATGATGCAACTTAAAAAGTAACATCTGGGAGTGTTTGGAATTTTTATATTAAACATTTAGTTCTGAATTTGGAAATAAGAGTGTTTTTAGACTTGAGCATGCTCATTTTATGTGGTATAGAAAAAAAATCAGCCAAATATCCAATAGAGGGTAGAGGGTACTGTGTAGACGAAGTATACTTTATTCTTGAAAAATCACACTAGTAGTTATTTTTTGTGATATGTGTTGTTTGCAAGAAGTAACTCCTACTATCTGTTAATATGCGATGAATTCTTTGTAATTCTATTTTTGCTCTCAATTTTCTATTTGAATAAAGTTGAATTGAGGTCTCTAAACACAAAGATGGAATTAGAATGAAATTTTGCCAGAAATCAGGATTTTTAAAGCATAAAGCGATAACACCAAGTTTTACTCCCAATGCTGACAGATTTCAAAGTCATGCCCTAATGAAAGTGGTAAAACCGTGGACGTGTTCGCGTGCAAGAAGAATATGTTTGCTGATGTGTGTGGATTTCATAGGTATGTTTACAGAATGTGTAAATATGTGTGGTGCTTGTATGTGGACATGGTGTTTAGATGTAGTATGTATTGAATGTTGTGTGTAGCGTAACAGGTGCATGTGATTCGGCAGGCTGTGGTGCGTTGATACGGGTAAAGAAAGCAAGTGTAAGTCTGGATATGTGCAGTAGAGCTTTGTGGTATGTGCGTAGTGCTCCAGATGTCGATGGTTTGGCAAATTGTGTACGGTATAGGTAGTATGTGTGCGTGGGGTATGTGTATGGCTTATGTAACTACTATGTGCGTTGTGGTATGTGTGTTACGGGTACGTAGAGTGTGGGTGTGTAATGTTCAGTCTTGCATTGAAGCTAAGTACCGACCTTTGCATATTTTGGTACCTGTGAGTATAGTTTATGCGTGGTATGATGGCATGCTTGTGGCATTTTTGATAGGTATGTCTGTGATGCGTCTTTGTTTCTGTATGGGTGAATAATTGGCAAGTTTTTGTACATATTTAAGTATATAAATTCCTGAGTATGAGTTGGATGACTATTCCCATGCTGGACTTTATTTAATAATTTCGCAGCTTTTGTTTAAATATCTGATTGTATATGAATGATTTCGTTAGCAAGCTAAGTAAGAAGTGATGACTTTACTTTGCGTAAATTATACACAACTTTTTTCCGCTTCTCTGTTCTATTTGTTTCATCCACTTACTTTTTAAGTATACTTGTCAGAAATCTATTTCAATGCTACAAATGCCCTGCTGCAGTAGTTATTAACTATTTTAATATTATTCACTTCATATCAATGTATAATAGTGCATTAAATATTTACTCAGCTATGACTTTTCCAATTTTTCTTAGAATAACACTGCTGCAAGATAGACCGAGGATGAAAATCTTTTTTTCTGAACAATTCTTTGAAACAATTTACTTTGCTGTAAAAATTTTACAGACTTGAGCATAGATTAGTTGTGATAGTTGCTGACACAGATAGGGTAAAGAAAGAGAAATGATTAAAGATTGAATGTTAAAAACGATGTTAAAAATAGTAATAATATTCTTATTTTAGCTTGGTCATTTGCTTCGTTATCATTGAAATTTTGTTTTGTTTTCTCTCGATCAGTTAGCGAATCTTTTCTTTACATTTGAGCAATAATTTGTGCCTGTTTTTATTATTTGGAAGGGTTGTGCTGTCAGCAAGGAACGAATAAGTATCAAAACTAGAATCATCTTTGATTTCATAGATGCCGAATATGATCTTCTACAGAAAAATAGCTGAAATCAATTGAAGTGTAATGACACTTGAATTCTATATAATGTATAACTATTCATGATTTTGCCGAAAACAATCAGGAAAGATTTCTTCACTTGGATGGCTCTACTCATTAGAAATTAGTGAAAAAAAAATAAATAAATGCATGTGTGACAATTATCAGACACTTGTTGAGTATCAAATAATTGTTAATTTTTTCATTAATAGTAAAAATGCAAATTTCTTTGCAAAGTTTAATAATTGATTTCTGGGAAGTAGTTTCCGATTCAGTTCCTTAGTAAGTAAATGTATATAAGCAAAAGCATGTGAAAAAAAATGTTTTCACCATCTTGTCCTATGAACTGATATTGTGATAGATATAAGTAAATTAGTCATACAACTTAGAATTTTCAGTTTTCGCTTTACCATTGATTATCAAAAAATTGATGTTAAATGCTTGGCACTACAACGCTGATTGATGCGGTTTTACCTATCAAGAAAGTGTCAAATAGGACATTAAAATGGTTTATCAAGAATAAGAACGAATATAAGTCACTCATAGTTTCAGGAAAAAAGACTTTGTTGAATAATGTAAAATGTCAAGATTTGTTTATCATATTCAAAAGAGAATAATAACATTAACAGTTTGGATTTAATCACTAATCAAAAATTTAATCCTTCGGTTCAATTTTATTAAACCATTCTAAAAGTACTGTTCAATCGATGCATTCGATTATTTTCAACAATGTTATGTCATGCTTCAAACACACTTTCAGATCTGAAATCTATTCCATTGATTAACAATAAATGGTGGATAAATTGAAAAAAGAAAATAAGAATTCTAGCCAAATTCCAGCTACTAGCAATGAAAAAGATGTCGAACATTATCAGGCATATTCCTTTTTTTTGCAACATTAACTGATTCTCTAAACCTTGTAATTCATGCTTTTGATACAAGATTATTACAGGATTCACCGATAGTAAATGGTGCTTTTCAGTCATTACCTCAAAATACTCAGTCTGGAAACGTCCCGGAAAAGTGGTACTTAAGTCTTAAGTGTTAACATATTTTATCACGTATATCAAAAGCATTTTACATGCGCATGTACTTTCAACTGCTGAAAGTATACGCACAAAATAAAGTCTGAATTCAGCTTATCGAATTTTATTTTTTTTAGTTATCAAAATCACAAGTTTGGAATCAAAATTTAGTAAGTAAAGTTAGAGGCATTTTAATTCAGCGCTTATCTCTTTCGTGGCGACTCGCTGTACAATAAATCTGTTGACATTGAAGCTACGGGTCCTGAACCAGAACGTGTTCACGTTTATGATCCATTTTGTCCAGTTCATGGCTCTAGACGTCGACTAGTCATTAGTAGACGTGACACAGGAGATTCGGCCCTTGATTATCATTTTGCAAACATAGAGTCGGTGGATGGTGCTGAACCTTCGGGAGTGATTTTATTCAGGAAAATGATTTTCTAATTTGCAAAATATTTAAAAAATCATGCTGATATTTACAACAAAAAGAATAACAGTGATTTTTCTTTGAGGAAATGAAAAAATATTAATTTTAAAAGGAAAATGAATGAAATGAGCAGAAGTAGCATATTACATTTTCAGCCAAGCATTTTCTGCAAAGTTGATTAGAAAACGTAAACGCGCTCTTTTGTCTGGCTCCGAAAAATATGAAAGTGAAAAAGCGAAACGAAAAATTCGAGTGAACTTGTGGATAGTTAGCCTGACTTTTTTATTTCTTTTCACGGCTTTCCATGGGTTGCAAAACTTGCAGTCATCCATCAATGGTCATTTAGGAACTGATTGTCTCGCGTATGTTCTTACTTCTACAAAGTTATATATTGATGAAGTTTGCTTGAAGTCTTGTTTCAGCTTAAGAAGGCGCAGATATATTCTGTGCACAATGTAAAAGTTATTAGATCATTGTCTTTTTTAAAGTTTCTCCATAGAAACTGTAACCATTTCTGAAGTAAATTAGAGGTGTAGAACTTGACAAGAAATGAGCATTTCTGTTTCGCTTTTTTAACAAAACTTTATTATAATCCTAAAGTGCCGTGAAAAAAAAATCTACATTCATAATGAAGAAAAGCATAAAGCTCTTTTTTGAAACGAAACAATATTCAAAAACTCAAATTTGTTGCATTCTGATTGTGACATTTTTTCTATCATTTTACACTGATTGATTTTGTTACAGAAAATATGTTGATACCAAACATAATTTTTTATTCACTACTGAATAAATTTAATCATACGACTCTCCTATTTTTCCATAACTTTCAGAATCTTTTATGTCAGCCTCTCAGTGTCATATCTCTTCATACCGTCATTCATCTTGAATCGACTTGGGTGTAAACGTACATTGATTGCTTCATCCGGAATATTCATGATTTACATGTTGTCTAATTTTCTACCAAAGTATGCTATTTTTGCTCAATAAGTTCAAGTTGAAAACTAAAGATCAAGCATACTTTCATTCACTGTATGAAATTTTTTGGTATATAGAAATCAGTGCAAAGTCATTCATGGAATGAAATGACTTTGCACTGATTTCTAAATACCAAAAAATTTTTCTACTAATTATAAAAACCATTTTTTATTACTTACATTCCTCTATTTTATGGATAAATTATAACTATCAAGATATATATGATCTTCGCGTTTCTTATTTGCTTTCTGTGCAGTTGATTCTTCCTAAATTCATTCCAGACACGATTTAACTTGATTAATTCCAGGTACTATTCGCTTATTCCGGCATCTATTTTAGCTGGTTGTGCAGGAAGTTGCCTTTGGGCAGCAAAATGTGTATATATTCTGGAAAGCGGGACGAAATATGCTCAATTAAATGTAGAAGCACAAAATGTTGTCATTATTAGGTAGTTGTTTAAATGAGTTTATGCAAAATTTTTACAAATATGATTAATTTTATGATTAACTGCTATGATAGCTATCTTATTCAAAACAAAAATATAAAATGATGTACCTTCATCATTCAAAATCTATCGATATTTTAAGGTTTTTTGGTTACTTCTTCATGGTGCTTCATCTTGGCCAGGTTATCGGCAATATTATTTCATCATCCATTCTAACATTTGCAACTGGATACCATGAACCGGAAGATCATGTACAAAAATGGTGCTGAACTATTTGAAGCAGTTGAAATCAGAGTTTTTATAATTATTATAAGAACAAAAGAATAAAGCTATGACTTTTGTATAATTTTGTTTATTATAAAAAGGATGGATAATGAAAAGAAAAATTTTTTAGAATGTTCATTATTGAAAACAAATGTGGAATATGCGTGAAAACTTTATTCTTGCATTTTGTACGAAATTTATTTAATTTTTGTGACCATTTAATTTTTTAGTTTTTGGCAATTAATTTTTTTTGGTTCTCTTCTTAGAAATGAAACTGATTGCAATGCAAATCTACCTGCAATCCTTTTAACTAATATTTAAGGAGTGTTTGAAATCCGAAAGCCTCATTTTGTCACTTTATAAATTTCAAATATCAAATGTGAATTTATTTCTGAATGTTCTTGAAACTTTTCAGCTGCGGCTATCTATTTCACAGTAATGTATCATATCTAAGCTTACAAGCAGCGAAAAACTTGCAACGCCCTCCTCAAAATGTTTATTTTTCACTTTGTGGTATCTACTTTTGTTGCACGATAGTTGCATTAATGGTTGTATTGCTCTTTCTCAATTCGCTTCGAACGGATGAAATTGCTCGGTAATTCAAACTTGCCAATTAGGGTGACAAATTTAGAAAAATTTGATGATCTTCAAAGCAAAATTGAATGTTTCCAAGAAAATACACAATCATCTCATTTTTCATGATTTTGTTAAATTTTTCTTTTTTTGACAAGATTTTTTAAGCAATTTTTGTTTTCAACCCTCTCTACATGTATTACATTCTGACATAAGCGACTGACTTTTCTGATAACTTCGCGCGTATGCTAAACTGTGTTTGAAAATCGTTACACTATCACAGACTGAAGGCTCCGTCTTTCTCAAAAGATATTTTCAAGGCCATATTTCGAAATCTTACCTATCCAAAGCCTTTGCTACTCATTCCGTTAACATTTTTTAATGGTATCGAGCAGGCCTTCGTGGTAGGCCTTTACACAAAGGTGAATAATTTAATGTCTTTTTTGATTACTAACAATCACAGTTTTTTTAACTGCTGGAAATTTCTCTTATTTTATAGAGATTTGGTTTATTCTTGACCAGAAAATTTTATTTACGTTAAGACTTCTAATATCTAACCAATGCTTATAGTACTTCAATAAAAGAAATAACTCGTCAGGCTTGAAAATTTCAAATACTTATTTTTTTTGAATAGAAAAGTATATTTAAAAGAATGTAAAACAGGCTTATATTGGTTGTGGTCTCGGTATTAGCCAAATTGGTTTCGTTATGACAGCATTTGGTGTCGCAGATGCTATTTGTAGTTTAGTATTTGGTCCGTTAATGAAACTTTTTGGACGAATGCCGTTGTTTGTCTTTGGAGCAGTTATCAACATGCTTATGACTTTGACACTTTTAGTGCGTGACTTCTGAATTTCAAGCGTTGAGATCACAAATAATCGTTACACTATCATATGTAAATTTGCGTAAAGTTTTTTGTTTTTTTACACCAAGAAAGAGCGAAAAATATCTTAAAAACGGAAATAATTTGAAATTCCTTTCTGAGAAAGCTCAACTATCATTTGAAATTGCTATTGATAACATTTTGGAAAATCAAAAATATTACCTTTTCTTAAGGATGTTTCCAATATCACTTCTAATGTAATCTTTTGTAATATACATTTGCTAGCATTTACGCGATTTAAGAGCAATAAAAGGATAAATGATGCGTTTACAAATGTGACTACTCTTAAACAAAAATCGTTGCTACTCTTAATTTGATTGCTATTTTTTGAAAATTTACTTCAGATTTGGCCATTAAATCCTGGGGACACATCACTTTTTTATGCAATTGGAGGCGTTTTTGGTATGGCGGACGGTGTCTGGAATACGCAAATCAGTGGTATCATTAAAATTTTTTTTCAGCTAAAAATTAGATTCCTTTCATTCAGTAGTTACAACTGAAGAGTCTTGTTACATTTGTAAATTAACCAACTAGTTATGCGCAAATAATTTTTTATTCAAGGTAGGATTTTAAAAATGAAGATAAAACCTGAAAAATGAAGACATTGAGTTGAAGGATTCTGGATTGCATTATCAGCAAGTCATCTCGAAACTGCGTTTGCAAATTACCGATTCTGGGAGTCAGCAGGGTTCTCCTTTGGACTTGTTCTCATTCGTTTTACCAGTATTGCTCAGTTCCTGCTCATTTCATTAGCAATGCTATTAGTTGGAATGATTTGCTATTTAGGGGTTGAATTTTACGACAATATCACCGTTAGTTTGATTTTACCCGTAAAAATATTATTTGCTTTCGAATGTTAGTGGATTATTTTGTAAAGACCAAAATGCATTATCTTTTATAGTTCTGCTAGATTAATGATAGACTATTGAGCCATTCAAATCCAGCTGAAAATTTTCAAAAAAATAGCTTAATCTTAATTTTTTGAACACGAGAAGTTTTACTCAAAATTTGAACCATTTTTTTCAGTTATTTAATAAGCAAATATTCGGCTCATGTCGAGTTCGGTATAACCAGCAATCAAGGCATAAATTGTCAACTCCAATGGACGCTTCTTTAATCAGTACAGTGAGTGATCTTCGAAAAACAATAGAAAAAGATGTCGAGACTGCATGAATGAAAAAAAAAATTATCCAGACCTATCTCACAGAGCACTTCTTCTCTTGATGTGATGTAATGTAACTCACCACAAATATGTTTTAAAAAATTTTTAATATTAAAGTATGATTTGACAGAATGTCTTTGCATATTTGAACAGAACACTGAAATTGTTTTATTTATTGCCATATTTAAGTTGTTTTTAAATCAACATTAAGGTCCTCCCATACACAAAGTTTTAGTTTTTTATTTTTATCACTGTTCACACAACTTCAGAGCATTGGTCATATTTTTGCTCTAATAAATCTTACTTTCCGATTTATATTCACTACATCTTTTTCAAGCTATAGAGTTAGACATATTAGTCGAATAATATTTTATCGTTATTATAAAATGGCGGCGATCACTATTTGTATTTATCACCAATATGATAATCATTACAAAACTGTAGGTCATGTAAAGTTTATTTAAAATAACAAATTTCTCGAAAATGGAAAAAAATAGTCATATTTTGATAAAGCGAAATAATTTTGAAGCAACAAGAAAATTATTTGTTACGAAGAATATACGAATAAAGTAAATAAGAGAATGAAGGGAGAAGTTGGAAATAAAGGAAGAATTTTTAAAAGTTATTTGGTGAGTTGAAGGCTACATAATTTTCTGGTAAAAGACAAACAACTCGACTGAAAATGCCAGCTACGATTGATACATTTGGTACATTAGTGTACTATAAAATTGTTACAGCACTCTTTGAGTAATAGATCTCCACTAGTAGCTTGTATTTATTGCACTGACAATGTTACTCGAAGATAACACTGACCAATTTTTTTTGCGTATCCGCTGTCACTAATATAAATAGTTCAATTTACCATCAGATCGATTGCTCATTTCATTTCTATTTACCGATAAATATTCTAATATTTGCTCCCAATAGCATTTCACACTTAATTTATTTTTATTATATTCAAAAATTACTGCTCAAATTAAAATGTCAAGTCATTATCACGTAATATTTACAGCATGTCCTATTGATATCAAACGATACAATTTTATTGCCCCCTTAGACGTAAATAGAATCAGAATGTTGTTCAGGATTTTAGAAAACATTTAAAATACCACTTATTTTCTACTATTAGCAGGAAGATATAAAATTTTAAAATGACTCTTAAGTGATAAAGTAACACAAAACCTTTAACGCAGTCTTCACCTAATATGATTATCTTAATTGTTAAAATACTGAAAACTCAGAGTCAAATAAGTTATAGTGAATAAAAGGCTACATAATAACTTTCTGGCGAAGGACAAAAACTCAACTGAATCAGTATTGAGTGCCGTCCTCTGATTCCTTGTGCTCTGTTACTGCCAGAAATCAAGCAATAACTGAATGAAAAATGAATAAACATGTATGCAACAGCATTTCTTTTTACAATTATTACGATCAAAAATAAAGGATCATAATACTTGCAAAAAGAGAAGAGAAAACCAGAGAATTACTTTACATTTAATTATCAGATTTGGGATGCAGTTTTTTCATAACGGGGGTCAAAGTTTTGAATTTTTAAATTAAGCATCCACTTCAGACTGCACTCTAATTAACAACATGATATGATGATTTAGGCGTTTACATTTAACGTTCGAAGTATTGCCTCAGTTATTTGCAGTTTTTTGTGCTTTTAATTCTATCTGCATAAAGTTATTATCTTTAATTTTATCCACTGGAAATTCAACGAATTTTGAAAGCTGTGCGCACGACATGTATTTGTATGTATTTTATTACTTGCAGGTTCTTCATAAATATTTTTATTTAAACTGAAAAATGTCCTCTTTGACTTTGGATCAAATTGAAAAATTCATAAAAGCTATCTGTTGCGATTATTGGTATTCACTTTGGCTGCTTTGTTATATACTCATTCTATCATATTCATTTTTGGCATTAAATACTTAAACTTTGCAGTTCCACATTTTTTTGTTTTTTGATTCATCAAAATAATGAAATTAAGTGCTGTCTTGTTCATTGAATGATTTCACTTCGATAAATTTTCAAATAGTAAAGCAAAAAATTCAAGTAATTAAATTGTGTTTATGAGAATTTTAGACGTCAGATAAATTACAGTTTGTATTATTAAATACAAACTGTAGTTTATTTGATGACTAAATTTTAGCTCTCAGTCGTCAGATAAATTGCAGTTTATGGGATCATCTTGCAAGCATGTTTTCTGTTGGTGAATTTTTTTTTTTTTGCATTATCTATTTATAAGTGTTATCCATATTTTTGTAAAAAAAAATCACTTAGATGTAAACTGTAAAAAAGAAGTTGTGAAGTTTTTATATATTTTGAGAAGGGAAAGAACTGATCTTTTATTATGACAGTAGAAATTTAAACTTTCCTTGCTTCTTGTTGAAAATACGTGCATTTTTTGTTCAAAACAAAACATTATTCCACTCTGTAGTATTAAATAAATAATTGGGTTCAGAAAATAGTCAAAACACCTATTTCAGGACATGCATCAGTGAAATTACTGAAGGGAGCCTTTTTCCATTATGTCCACTTTGTTCGCTGCCAGTTGGATTACAGTATGTTAAACCTGCTGCTTTTACAAGTCAGCTTTTTTATAGCATATTATCACTGAAGGAAAGTCTTTCTCAAGTCAGCCTTTTACTTTTCTATTATCAAATAAAATAATGTATTTTTTAAAAAGTAGTAGCAATAGAAAAATGTTGCGGCAAAGAGATTTTATTGTGTTAAAGATTAAATCAAGTTCATTGAACCACAAAATAGGCTTATGGAGTGAAGAAAATATATCTTATTATGTTTTTCAAGCGACTGCTACTTTTTGTTTTCTGGAACTGCGCTGCACCTTTCATTATCATTTATAATTCCCTTTACTACGTTTCATTATTCGTCTTAGAATTCTACGTGTTTTATGATAATATCTACTACATTTGTTTAAGTTTGATGTATCTCAAATTGATCCGGAAATTATGCTAAGTGTGGTTGAACCCATTAAGCAGCAAAGAACAATTAATGAATTCTGTGCCAGCCAGGTAGCTACTGATATTGATGTTATTCCTGACTGGGATTACAGTGATGTGCTCTCAGAAATTAATCCAGAGGAACGACCAACTGTGTAAATCATCACTTGTTTCTCTTTTCCTAAATAATCAGTGTGGTAATGTAATGATAACGGAAGAACAGAAAGCAAATTGGTCAAGCATCTTGTATAATCCGAAAATTTCGGAAAGTATGTTCATCGCGTCTTACATTCATTTTTTCAGGAAAACCCCATGTGAATTTGAATCTCATTCGGAATTCAGTGATCCTGCTTCAAACTTTGCTTTGGTGCCAGACGATGTCATTCTGTTTACGCAACCGCAGGAAGTCGTTGGTGAAGCTTTGGCTGATAATCAAATGACTCAGCATTTTCATATTTACAAAGAACCAAATGAATTCAAATTTTTCCAGTTACAACCCAGAAACACATTTGGCGAATTAACCGGAATGGTATTCATATATTAATTAAATTCATGGCTCTAACTTTCATAACATAACACATAGAAAAATTCATGATCGTACTACAAATAGTTTGTGAATGTATTTGGATTATTAAAGAGGTTTTGATTTTGGATCTCGATTTTCAAATTCACTGCAGTGTAATAGCGTTTAAATCTTGGTGTTTAAAAACATAAGTAATTTTTTGCATATTACCAATTTATATTTATTAGAATCACATCTCAAATAATTTTCAGGTGGATGGAAGTTCAGAAAATAGATCAGAAAGCCAAGGGAGAGAGGATTCAAGTGTTCCTTCTCTTGCAGATATAACTACTCTATCTCAGCATCATAAATATCTTATAGTTAATTGTGCAGTAAATGGATCGAAAGAAGAACTTTTAAAGGCTTTAAAGGTAGTCATACTCATGATTACTTACGAATTGCTTTTATGGGAGTTGAATTTTCACATAAGATAGAAAGCTATTTGCTCGTGCTCATAAATTCATCGTTTGGTTCTATTTTTGATTTATAGAGTGGCGGAGACGCAAATGACAGGGATTGTCATGGCATGACAGCGCTCCATCATGCTGCAGCTCGTGATTATTCTGAAATTTGCAAAATTTTGGTTGAAAATGGCGCACACATCAATTCATATGGTGGTTTCAAGTTTATATAATTGCAGGATCATTAAACACTTTTCATTTGATATATTGGTTTCAAGCATTAAAATTTATGACAGATTGTGGACACGAAAATGATCATAAATTATGATACTTATATAGGTGGACAGTTATGTGAAACAGCACTTCACACAGCCGTGCGTTATGAAGCTGTCAACACTGTTGATTACTTACTTACAAAGGGAGCAGATCGCCATGCACTCAATTTGAAGGTAATATTTTGTGTAAATTATTCCAGTTAGGTTTAAATTTTTTGCGTTCATCACCATCGCTTTTTTCAGAGGGGAAAAAAATATTGAAATAAAATAAAATATAAATTTTAGGGTCAGACTCCAATGGATCTTATTGCGACTGATCAAATGCGAGTAGTTTTTCATAGAACTTCTCACTCTTCAAAAAGCCGTAATGTTTTCTTCAGACAGTAAAAAATAAGATGTGTCATTTATTTAAACTTAGAGCATGCAATATAACTTGATGTCCTAGGTTTCAATACATGGCATATGTTTTATTCAACTAAGTCGATTTTATCTTTTTCCATTAAATAAATTGTTTGATTTTATCGGTTCATTACGTTAAAGCTAGTTTTTAATCATTTTAATCGTATTGTTTGGTGATGTATTTTTAGCATTTTTAATCATTTTTACTTATAAATACATGGTCGGTCATTTATAGCACTTTCTTCACGAAAAACCAAAGAAGTTTCAATATTTCTGTCGCCAACATTACCTTATACAAAGCTTCAACATTATCTTACTGATGGAGATCTATTGCTTAATGAAATAGCCAAAAATACGTTGAATCTGAAAACTGCTTCTCACTTAGTTGTTCCAGTAACTGCCAGTCGAACTGTAGAAGTCACCGGTATATTCCGTTGCAAAAAATTTGAAAATTTGATTTTCTGAAAAACCACTACCAACAGTAGAACCTTAAGTTTATCCCCTGTGAATACTCAGTATGGAACTTGAAAATGTTGGCATTTTCAAGTTCCATACTGATTTTATTTTCCTGGTTTTTTATTCCAAATCAAACATTAAATATTATTTCCAGTTGAAATTTTGGAAGCTATGCTACGTGGCAAATTTGTGGTAGCATCTGAGTGGCTTGATGCATGTCTGGAGGCTCATAATATTGTGGAAGAAGAATTATATGAGATTGAAACAATTAACTGGAACGGACAGTTACTAGCAAAGAATTCGTGCTCTGCAGCTAGAAGAAGTTATGCTGAAATGGTTTGTTTGTTATCATAACTGGAATTATATGTCTAGTAGTGTTTCTAGGATAACTCAATCTTCTTTTTATTTGTCGATAATAATACCAAACCTTGCTCCTTAAATGTGTTTCACTTCCTTTTCTCTTTTTTTGTATTTTGGATGGTGTTTTGTATTTTCGCTTTCCTTCCAAGCAAAACTAAAGCAAATCCACTTCAGTCCATTGCTAATTTGCTTGTTGGTTTCAATTCGCATGTTTTTCTGGTTTGAAAACTGATGTGCCCACTTAATTCTGAACCAAGATTTTTGGTTTCAGAAACTAGGACTCTTTAATGGATGTCGGTTCCATTTTTGTAAGAATGAGTACTCGCCATACCATGAAAATGAGATCAAAAATTTGGTCCAGTTAGCTGGAGGTGAAATAATTGAAAATGAATCAAATGTAGAACACTCTCAGAGCACACTGGACTCGTATCATGCACAAAGTATCAGTGAGGTAAGCATCCATTATGTATATAACAAGTTTTTAGCATGATTTTACACTTCGCAAATCTCAGTGCTTATGACTTACTAAGCACGTCAACCAATAATATCTACGCATCTACTTCGAAAGACTCTACCTCAAATAATGTTAGCATTGTAGTTGCCTGGATTGTTCATTGTGTATATGGAAGGTCAACTTATACCAGAAAGCACCATAGAACGGCAGTCCACCACTTTTGTTACACCTTCTTGGATAATAGAGTGTATTGCGAAATTCGTATTCACACGACCCAGTAGTTCCTGAATGTTCCATTGAAAATATGCAGCGACTCATATATATTTCGCCCGTTTTTTATATTAACATATAGTAATGAATGACAGCTGTGTACCAGCGGTACATCTCTTCTGCTGAGGTTACAGTAAAGTTCGAATTCTTTAACCAATTCAAATTTAAGTTAAGATGACTCGTCTATTTCCTTTAGTAGTCACTTAAACATTAGATACTAACATCTTTCACCAGCTACATAATGAAGTATTTGGCAACACTAGTAATTTGAAAAATATACAAATGCAGAGGTTTAATTCACATTCATTTATTTCAAATACAAAGATGCAACATCAGTTAATAGAATTGTTCTCAATTTGTCAAAGATGAAATCTGTCATGCAATAAAGATTTCCAGTATTAATACAAATAGCGAGTAAGAGCATTCAGACTTATATAAAATTCTGCATAATGCAACATAACTTCTTTTCCTATATATCTTTTTGTAGGTTTTTACGACTTCAAAAATCTGAGCATCAAAATAAAGTTCGGTATTAAAGTACTTGCAACATGGAAAAGAAGTCCCAAAAAAGAATCATTTAGATACCACGAAGGTTTGAAATAATCCAATCATATAATGGAATACAGAACATTCTGCATACATGTAACGAAGTATGCATGCATGAAAAATCAAGTAGTAAATACCAATCACATATGCACAATATTATATGCCACGAAACACTGAAGGGAAAGGAAGATTTAATCTGAATTTAAGTATTCTGAAAGTCACTTATAGAGTTCGCAGTTAAAGAGATGTCTCGAATTCGTGTCAGGTGAGGTGAAATTACTCGTCTTTGCGTCCGTCATTAAAGTCTATGCTACCATTATCTTAGGTCCCAAGTTTTTCATAAAATCAGCTGCGCACATTCACAGCACTGTATGAGCACTGAATGACCTAATAATTCATTCACAACCATTCCCTGTCAGCAAACAGGTATAGTTCAACCTTAATTTAAAATGTACTGAACAATTACTCAAATAATACGCGAAGGAAAGCTTAAAAAGTTCAATCGCTTCTTGATTTAAAGAAAATTTGTGTTACGCAACTGCATTACATGGAAAAAACGACTCAAGAATTGAAATTCAGCATCTCGAAATTTAACGAAGTAAAGTACCTTTGCATCTATAGAAAGTATTTGAACTGCTTAAAAATAAAAAGCCATATTATACAAGCAATTCACCAAAGTGATATATCGCGCCAATCATCATCATTGAATACTTTGAAGTATGCCCAAACTGCACCAAAACAAATTATGTTGGCCATGACGATAAAAAAAGATGAGAAACTGGATATCTGAAACACTAATTTCATCTTCCAGCGAACGAAATTTACATTAAGATATGAAAGATTAAAGACAAGCGCTCTTTCACATACTCAGTGGAACACTGTTCCCACTAATTAACATGAGAGACGAGTCCAGTAAGCGATTACTGAAAATTACCAATAATATGGGCAAAAGCAAAATGTGCTTCATTCAATCAAGTCGGAAATTATCGATAAAAACACTCATATAAATACAAATATATAAAGATGGACTATAAGATTACAATTTTAAAATTTCCAAGAACACATAGGACGACTTCCTTAGATGTTATAACATCACAATAAGTCAACTGACTCCAAAAAAAAACATGCATTACCGTAGCAGAATCGATGAGTTTTGCAAACGACGTTTGCCGTCATCAATAAAGAGGTTGATTCCACATACTTCCATCATCGTCACCATGTAAATAAAAGTAACTAAGAATCGTCAGGAACATGACGATGGAACCAAGGTTTGCGCATAAACAAGCCAACCACTTGATCTAAACTGGTAAACAAAAAATCACATGCTCACAACAAACATCAAGCACTGTAGTGAGATGTATAAATCTGGTGTGGCAGACTCTTAATACAAGCACATGAGCAATGAATGGAATACTCCTAATTTCAAGACACATTAACAACCGTACTGACTGAAGAGTACATACATGATTCATGCACAACTATTAAATTAGAACTGAGATGATTATGAGGATGGCGAACACTTAGAAACACATGAAAATCAAATTTCGCAATACACTCATGGTCCTGAATACATGTATATTAGAAATGAGTAACTACTACAGCAATAAAAAATAATAGGAAAACAAAAAATTCTGTAGCGTTACAATGAAACTTACCACGCCGGCATGCGCGAGAACCACGGGTAATGCAAACGCAGACACAATGATACCAGTAGTGATAAACAGTGAAAATTCAATGCATGCTGAAGTACCAGAGACATCATCTTGAAGTCGACGCGCTATAGATAAAGGCAGCGGCGATAAGACGTAGAAGACAACCACGAATAATGGCCACCAAGTGCTGAAAAAAATTAGTGAAATAGTGAATCACATATTTTAGCATCTAAATGAAAAATACATGCATATATCTACATGAAAAAAAATGCTATACTCACATAAAGGTTAATCAATATATATATATATATATATATATATAT